AGTGTGGGTGGTGGGCAGATCTTTCAATGGATTTCTTTGCATATTTCTCTTATTCCTTTTATATGTGTAGGAGTTAAGGTGTATTTGTAAGCGTCCCACACCCCCTAAAAAGTACACTTCTGACATAGGCTGTCTCATTGTCCTACTGTGCACCAGGGCATGTGCGTAAGGTGGTCAGTCACTGAAGTGACCCAGGTGCACACTTCCTGATAATCTTCCAGCCAGATATGACTTGATTCCAAGGAGACTAGAACCTATTTTATGAGAAGCAAGACTTCCTTAGGAGGGAAAAGTTATTCTCAAAGTTGGGCATGCTTAATGATTACTTTAGGTTGTCCATTTGGGAATAGAATAGAGTAAAACATTTGCCATTGCCTGGGGAGTGATTTCCTCCAGATGTCATAAACAAGTACCATCTCACAGGTGTTTTGTGTAGGTTGTGCTGAAAGGTCAAAACAGGTGTTTTGTGCAGGTTGTGCTGAAAGATCAAGCAACCACAGACACAAAACTGGCTTCTCCTAGAACCATCTGAAGGGTCCCATGTGAAACATTTTCACCACTTCTTTGTTGTATGGCCTTCAATAGGTTATATAACCTTTCTGAAACTCAGTATCTTCACCTGTAAAACGGAGGCAATGATACATGTTCCCAAGGGTTGTTTTAAGGATCAAATCAGATAATAAATGAGGGCACTTTGAAAATTTCATAGAAAAATGGAATTAAAAGATAATACAAATCTTTCCATGAGCTTTCTGAAGTACTACAGTGCGCAGCACACAGAACTGCTGTTATTATTGAGGCTCCTAACACAATGCCAGGAATATAGTAAAAGTGCAATAAATTGAAGCCTTTATTTATTTGGTCCTTGTTGTTATTGTCTCCCATGCACAGCAATGATAATGTGTGTTCATACCTTTGAATTGCCGGACTTGTTTTGTGCACAGTGTGTTACATACCTTTAATCAAAGCTCACACACGAGAGCTCAAATGCTTGAGCCTCGATGCTCAGGGCAAAATTATTTGAAGCATTCGTAAACTGTCATTTAAACACCATTGCCCTCTTTAGCTCCGTATGCTGACCTTAAGTGTGTTCAGCTTAATGAGATCTATGCCCATTGCATCAAAATAAAAGAATCGATTATACTGAAGCATAGAAAGAGGCCAATATCAAAGAGATAGTTGGGGTGTAATGTGTTTGAGCATTTGTTTATATCTACAACAGTCACTAAGGATGACAGCCTTGTCTTTGTTTTCCTAGTGAAGAAACTAGAACATTAGCTGTCAAAAGTCATGCAACTCACGTTGTGGACCAAGATGAGCTCATAGATGCCCCTTTCCGACACTAACTTTCACCAAAAAGAGTCAGGCTGTTTCTCTTCAAGTTTCATGATGCCTGAGGTAGACCTTGGTCCTGTTGGGGGTGTCATTCAGAAAGGATAAAAAGGAGATCCCAAATTCTCCCTAACATCAAAGAGATGTGATTGCCAGTGCAGGTTAAAGCAGTACTGCATCCCCAACTGGTGCTGGTCCTTGGAGAGGAAACTCGATTCAATACTGTTAAGTAGAAAGTGTTACTGCAGGTGATGTGTTCCAGTCTTAGTGGGGAGCTCCAGTGAATTGAGATTTTTGAATATCACACACACACACACACAGAATTGAAATGCTCAACACTATGCTTTAAGAAATGGTAGATTTGCCTCTCCTTAGGTGACAAAACCTGTTACCTACCATAATATATATATTTTCCCAAAGGGCATCTTCAGATTGTCAAAACACTATTAATTTTAATTAACTTAATTTAATAAATAAATGTCATTCAGACCTTCAATGAAGAACTGGGAGAAAAGAATAGAGGTGTTGTCATTGAATAAGTCCTATTATAATGGAGTGTTACAACTCCAGGAAGGTTGAGGGATTACCCAAAAGCTATAGAGAGGAATCTTATCAATGTGGGTGAGCAGAAAATCCAGGAGCAAAATTCTGAGAGAAATCAGAGTATTTCTATCAAAGTTTTTTCTTGTAAGCTCTTATATTTCTAAAAGCCTCCTAACAACTAAATAATTTATTTGGTAGTCTCACAAGAATGTAATAAACTGTTATTTTTAGATAAATTTAATGTCAAGCTCCTCTGCATTTAATATTGTTAGCTAATGATTTGCATGTTTGTCTTTCCTGCAGAGGTAATGTTTATAACACTGCCGTGGGTCTCTAATTTGGTTTACCACAGCTGCAAAGAGATTTTAAAAGGCCATTTCCGTTTTTATTGCCTTGGTAAAGATATTCTTTGCCACATGTATAAACCAAGAGTTGTAGTCATAAGTATTCTTTGTTGCACCATTTATTATCATCTGTTTTTATCTACTTCCGTTTTTCTCTCTGATTTTTTTTTCCTAAAATATTTGCTAAAAGTCATTAGTGTATGTTTCATAAAAGCTGGAGCTACACAAAGTACTTGTATCCTAATTTAGTGTTGATTCCTCCCAATTATTTTAAATCTCCCTATGTTTATATCTGTGTAGCACATAACAGTGTATTTACATAATACGTTCATGTTTGTAGAACACTTCTGCATACAACTCTAAAGGGGAGATGGGTGGGTTTTATTTTCCTCAATTTACAGAGGAGGAAATGGAAGCTGAGGAAGCCCTGTAACTGGACCCAGGCCACAGAGCCACCAAAGTCAGGAGCTGGGGTAGAACCCTCCAAGTGTCAGTCCAGGGCATTTTCTGCCCTGCAGCACTGCCTCATACATAAAGAGACCCTGCCCCTGCCCCTCTAACTCTGCCTACCTAGAGAGGACGAGACCAAGATCTCTGCCCAGCAAAGAGAGAAGCTCAGCTTTTGATGGATCCCTCTCTCTCTCTCTCTCTCTCTCTCTCTCNTTTATCTACTTCCGTTTTTCTCTCTGATTTTTTTTTCCTAAAATATTTGCTAAAAGTCATTGGTGTATGTTTCATAAAAGCTGGAGCTACACAAAGTACTTGTATCCTAATTTAGTGTTGATTCCTCCCAATTATTTTAAACCTCCCTATGTTTATATCTGTGTAGCACATAACAGTGTATTTACATAATACGTTCATGTTTGTAGAACACTTCTGCATACAACTCTAAAGAGGAGATGGGTGGGTTTTATTTTCCTCAATTTACAGAGGAGGAAATGGAAGCTGAGGAAGCCCTGTAACTGGACCCAGGCCACAGAGCCACCAAAGTCAGGAGCTGGGGTAGAACCCTCCAAGTGTCAGTCCAGGGCATTTTCTGCCCTGCAGCACTGCCTCATACATAAAGAGACCCTGCCCCTGCCCCTCTAACTCTGCCTACCTAGAGAGGACGAGACCAAGATCTCTGCCCAGCAAAGAGAGAAGCTCAGCTTTTGATGGATCCCTCTCTCTCTCTCTCTCTCTCTCTCTCTCAGACTGTTTAGTCCCCCAGCTCTCCATTTGTGTGGCTCATGCATTCTCATTCTTGAAAGCTCTGTTCAGGTGTCACCTCCTCCGGGAAGCCTTCTTAACACACCTCTGAACACTGGAGAAGTGCTGCAAAAGCCATTTCAGTCAGAGCCCTTACCTCTCTGAGTTAAAATGATTTGCTTGTTGCGGCTTCATCACAAGCAGAGACAGTCGCTTCTCTCTACTCCCGATGCATACACCTCCCTTGCTCTGCCGCAGCCACACTGGCCTCCTGCTGTCCCCTGACTTGCCAGGCACATCCCCCCTGGACTTTGCTCTTGCTGCACCACTGCTGGAAGATTCTTCCCCCTGACACTTCTTGTCTCCTCACTCTCCTCCTCCAGGTCATTACTCAAATGTCACCTTCTCAGCTCCCCTCCTGTCTTAGTCCATTGGGACTGCTATAACAAAATACCATAGATTGGGTAGCTTATAAGCAACAGAAATTCATTTCTCACAGTTCTGGAGGCTGAAAACTCTAGATCAAAGTGCTGACAGATTCAGTGTCTAGTGAGGGCTCCTGCTCTCTGGTTCATAGATGGCACCTTCTAACTGTGTCCTCACATGGTGGAGGTGGCCAGCTAGCTCTCTGGAGTCGCTTTTGCAGGGGAACTAATTCTATTCATGAGCCCTCTACCCTCCTGACTTAATCACCTCCCAAAGCCTCCACCTCCAAATACTATCACCTTGGTGATTAGGTTTCAAAATAAGAATTTGGGGGGGACATAAACATTCAGACCATAGCACCTCCTGTGTAAAATTCCTAAGACTCAGCTGCCCCTACCCCTCTTCCTTGGTTTATACTTTTCCATAAAACTTATCACTTGACATGTATGTTTTACTGATCTGTTTTGTTTATTGATCTGCCTCCCTCATGTGAGAATATATGAATTATAGGTAATAATAAACTGATCTAACCCAAGTGTTTTGAACAAAGACCTGCAAGCTAGCCTCACTGCATTCGTGAGCTGCTGATTAACCATTTTGTCTATAAAACAGAAAGTAGCATATCCAGACAGGTGTTAGCTACAACATTTGTCATGTGTTTTAGTCCTCCCTGAAGGACTACCTTCACCCATTGGCATAAGCCAGTGTATTTTCTTCTCAAAGAGTTTTGAGATCATGTAATCAGGCCAGATTAATGATGCTTTTAT